CTGCAGATCAAGAAGAGAGGATGGTGCGCAAGCTTTCGTATTTCATAGACATGACTTGTTATTTGTGTTCTACTTGTTACAATATCATAGGTACGTCATTATCTTCCAAGTTATTTCTTCCATTAAGAGCCATTCATTCAGATCATGCAGCTTCTTAGTGTTATTTAAAATATCGTGTCGGGCACCATTCATTTGACTAGGGTTTTTCGTCCCTTTACTGGTACCATGAGTGTTTTGACTACGTCTTGTGTATAGTCTTTTGTTATTCGATTCGCATCGCCGGACCACAGCAGAGCTTATTGAGGTTAAACGTTGCTTATCCATTATGTAAGTGCTTTGGATATGTATGTTTCTGTTAATACTGCATGGCCATCCGAAGATTCGGATCTCTTTGTGGTTTAGCTATCTGTTGTGATGAACTAACCAACATTCAGCTCAACATGACAGTGCGGTTCCTATTGCTGTTGTGTGAGCATTCCCTTAAGCTCAATGGCATATTCTTATATGCACATAGGTCATTTTTGTTCATCCGGGTCACTGTTTTTCTTGCGGACAATATATTACTGTATCATTATTGTTATCATTATATACCATTATTTTGTATGATGGAATGAATATATATAGATCCTAAGCAGAAATCCGCCTCCCAGTTTCACCGATCGTTGATGTGTTTTCTTTTTGCTGAAGCAATGCGCGGCGTATTTTTTCTTGATTTCAGACGACGAAGCCGGTTTTATAGCTGAAGCCATTCTGGCATTGGTCTTAGTTCCGCACCTTCTGTGCTTTCCTTACACAACACTCTGTCGTCGACATACAAGATAGGATATAGGGCTGTCTCTAGCAAATCTTTTTTCAGCACGGCTGCCGCAAGAGAATTCAAAAAATTACTCACTATTCATCCTTAATAAGCCCCCACTTTATTGAGAAATTTTGTTTCACGCAATTTACTTGTGACTACGATTTTAATCCACTTGTGCATGCCTGGGGTAAGCGTAATATAATGTAAGTATATTACATTGCATTGTATTAATATATTGTTACATCAGCTTCTTTTTCACGATCGGATATAACGTCTTCCTAGATATTTTGTCAGTTGACATCTGCCATTAACCCGCCTCAAATAAAATTGGCTTATTCTTCAGCTTTCAATCAATCAAAATTTATTTGCTTATGCATCTAGAATTGCTATCAACGCGTGCAGGTAGCGAATTCATTCTGAACTAATCGCATTTTTTAAAGCAACCTTCTGCCGACCAGTGCAGTTTCGCAGTTTAATGCCACTTTAATGCACCAAGCTTCGTTCTCCTGGGTACAATGATGTCTCACACCAGCAGCGTTGAAAAACGACAAAATTGTCATGGGAAACTGTTGGGTAATTATGAGTGATGTAACGATAACGACAGGACAGGCGAATGCTTCTTTGATAGCAGCGATTCAACGCTAACTAGTGCAAAAACTCAGACACACGCCAACTGTGCGCCCATTTATCATGAAGCCATTGTTTTCGTTAGGTAACGATTCATATAGCTTCAGGATATTGCTGAGCTATTCCGTAATCCAATAGCTTCTATGGGTCTCTGTGTCCGCAGTTGTTTTTGTATTGGCGTAAAGATATTTTTCGTTTATGTATGATTCATCTTAATGCTCTTAATTCCAAATTTCGTCTTGGTTCAGGGCCTCTCTATTTCATAGTTCATCCTAGGTTTCTTCCACCATGCCTGATGAGATTTTTTGAGGTAACCCTATATTTCATTCCGTCTCTTTCGTCATCTGCTTTGAATATCTCTCATTTAATGATGCTTGAAAGATGACATGTGAAAAGATCGAAATATAAGAACCGATTTAAAGATCATCATCATGCAAATAACCGTGTTCGGGACCCATGACCAGTCTCGAAACACCTGCCATCCTGAAGCGTCCTGAAGCTCGTCGAGATGACGAGATTTCTAACACGCTGTCTGCGTAGTGTCCTACAGGTGCAATAGCGCCATCCGATCACGAATGGTCAGATGCTGACGATCTGGAAAAAAATTATTAAATGAATTCAGAGACTGGCGTCTGGCTTGGTTTGATGAAATGGCCCCAACAGAAAATGGGCATCTTTCAAAGCTTTGCTCACATGGGAACCCTAACTTGCCGTAGACGCTTTGGAGGAAAAACAAAATGTGGAAACCCCTCGTAAAGGCAGATCTGCTGACGACGAGGACTATGACCTTTGCTGCATCAGTAATAGTTGCCTAATATCAACCTGAGACACCATTTCTATGGGTTAGACATCATAAGCCTGGGTTGCTGTGCTGTGTAGTGTAAGCTCTGTTTGCCTCAAATGACGATGTCGAAGTGCGACAACAACAATGCTTGAAACTGCGTCATATTTTTTCGTCTGTCAGCAGCTTACCGTTTTCATGTTTTATGCGTTTTATTTTACTAAGGTTATCTTTTCTAGTTTTTCCGCCTTTTGTTATGCATCAGACTTATTTTTCTCTCTCTCCATTGTTACCGATTTTTGTGTAAGCTATCGATGCCTTTGGGTTAGCTTCTACGACAGTTTTTCGCCCATCTGTAGCGTGTCGAGAATATTCTACTGCAGTATCAGAACAATACTGTCGATATTTTACGCATACATTTTCAATTGCCTCAATTACTTTCGTGGTATGGAATCAACAATTTGAGGCGAAAATTTTCTCAAACGGCCCCATTATCTTCCAAGCAAAGAAAAGGAAAAGAACGTTTCTAACTGTTGGAGTGTCGGTCTTTCTTGCATTTTCATGACTGGCCTATTTCTGACGCCCTTCTTTTCATCAAGTTGATGGTGGTGTGCTGATCCCCAATTTCATACTATAGGCCACAGAACCTTATTTGTTGAATGCTGAGTGGATAGCAGCAATGTGTTAGCATTGTGGTGTGTAGTCTCTTGATTTTTCCCTACAGGGCGGTACTCATTTATCAGCATCGGAAGGAAGAAAGGTGAGTGACTCAACCGAGGCTCTAATCAGAAACCTCTTGGTCTTGAGGTCGACGCTCTGTCGACGGAACAACTCCACTTAACCCTTCCACTCGGGTTAGCTCAATGGGCTGTATTCCAGAGCACAATATACCAGATGGTCAATATAATCAGACATCTTGGCAATGCGCTTTTTTATCGCATTCTTTGTAGCTTGGTCTGGACAATCAGCCTTGCGATTTTCTGTTTTGGCATCTTGATCACACCGATACGACAGCTTATTAACCATTTTTTGATCATGGCCTGTTCAGCTGTGACTTGTCAGCAAAGTAATGCTGAAGTGCTTCTGTTGTTCCTTCTTATCTCTGGACGGAAAACATTTTGATAGTTTGTTTTACAATTTTGTTAATGTGCACTTAACAGTGCAATCGTAGCTGTGCATTTTTCATCTCTCGTAACTGTGCATATTTCTAGGTTGATCAGTCAGAGCTAGTTAAAGCGCTCACCTGTCGTTCCATTCGTACCAAAGACGAATCAGTCGTGTTGGCGATGACTCCAGAGCAGAGCTTAGATGTACGCGACGCACTGGTACGAGAAATATACGGAAAACTCTTTGAGTGGCTCGTACGCAAGATCAACAGCATCATATTTAGGCATGTTCAGTTTAAAGTTGCTACTACAAACATAAAATACGTACTTGTCTGATGATAAACAAGCTAATCGTCAGGCATAACGGTAGCCTTGTAATCGCGGAAACTTCTTTATAGCACTTAGCGACCTCTTCTGTAACAGAAGTAAACGGACGAAAGGTTTTATCTTCTACGCTTTTACGAGGTGTCTTGGTCTTTTTTAAATTTGACATGATCCGACTTGCCCTCGTGTCGGTGCGCCGCAATCGCAGGTCAACGTTCTTCCAACATTATTTGTTTTCCGCTTTCTGCCTCCACCGCTGACCCTGTACTTTGTCCATAGCATCACCCCAACGTGTTCTTTAGCGGAGCGGCCCACTCGTCCAGCGGAACCAAGTTCGTAATTCTTGATGTCCTCGTGTGCCTCTCAGACGAGCCACATGACCACTACCTTCTTCTGGCAGCGTAGGAGGCAGAAATTGCGTCTCTTAATTCAGGTCCGCTGTCGAACTGATGTGATTGGGACGTGATTGCGTAGGATCGTGTTGCACATGTTTCGCTCCATAGCTGTCCGCGTGACCATTACTTTGTTTTCCTCGGCTTTTAGTAGCATAACAACATTCTGGGCCGTTTATCATGACTTGAAGAACGGTTCATTCTACAAGTTACTTCATCACTCGCATGGATAGTTCACTTTGGACGAATTCGTTCCGTCTTCCTGACGGCTCAAGTATACGTACACGATGACTTCTTCGAATTGTTTGCCATTCGCGTAGATAAAACTTTCAGATCAGTGCTCGTTTCACATCCGTTTCGTCTGGAGAGGTTCACCTACAGTTCGATGGTGAGAGATTCTTATTCCGTTGGGCTCCATTGTGCCTTGCTGGAAGACGATGCAGTCGTTTGCAAATGAAAAGCGCATTAGCTGCTCTCTATTAATATTGATACCTTTAAGCCAGGCTAATCGGTTGAAGAGTGACTCAGAGGTTGCGTCAGAGAGCACTGGTGAGAGGTGGTACTCCTTGGCACACCCTTCGATGGACGCCGGCGCGACATGATTCACAGAACAGCTTGATATCAGTCGTTAGGCAGGTGTTCAATTCCACGATATGGTTGATCTAAACAGGGTTTATATTTATTAATGCCTTTCATTTAGCGCAGCCATCAATTCTACCGAAGTGAGTGCATTCTTGTAGTCGCCGAAGGCAAAACAGAGTGGGAGGCACTTGATGTTCGTTGCGTTTCTCCATCAGTTGCTGAACCACAGCACATAGTCGATGGTAGATAATTGTGTACAGACACCAGCTTTTTCCTAACTTGTGACTAATTTGAGGACATTCCAAATACGGCTGAGAATGATGCGGGTGAAGACTGTAGATTTGCTGACGGGAGTGTAATTGATCGAAAGTTCTTAAGGTCTGCGGAGACGTTTCTTTCTTGATGAAAATGATCGTTCTTAATGTCTTCAATCTTGAAACGTGTTGTTCTGCTTTATGTATTCCGTAAAACGTTCCAAACGCTTTAAACAGGGTTGTTTTTTCTGATTTTTGGTGTTCTGGTCTTCTGTCGTATTGGAGTTGAAATGTTAAAAGTAAATTTTTTTGAAGTACTGCTCCGCATATCTTTTGATCGGTATTTGAATGGCTGGTTATGGTTAGTTCTCATAAAATTTGAAACATCACAACAAGATCTATTTTTCTGAATGTTGGCTAAATATAAAAACTTTATGTACTGCGTAAGCTCTAATAAGTGACCAATGAAAGCACCCTGCCTGTTACATTGCCTGCTGCTACCCCATCATAACGCATACAACAAAGCTGGCTTCTGCGCGGTATGATGGCAGAACGGTAGACTGTAATGATCGAGGTTCATTGTTTACGTCGAATTCTTTATTCATGCCTATCTTTTCGTTTAACATTCGTTTAGCCGACTCCAGCCTTTAAAGGTAATGTGTTACTCTTAAGTAACTTCAGAATTGTTCTGTGTTCACAGGGCAGGTAGGGTAGGTGAAGGGGTTAGCGTGGGGTGGGTTCGTAGGGTAGGTGAAATGATTAACGGTTATCGGCACGTTCGTTTCTGTGATAAATTTTTTAAGTTGGCCTTTGATATGTGTTCCTGTGTTACGAGTAAGTGTATCCTTGTCTTAGAAAGAATTCTGTTATGTGCATAAAGTTGTCGGATGGTAATTACCGTTCGTTCATGCTATCTTTTCATAATTACTATAGCGGTTGTGGGGCACATAACAATATTTCATTCCCATACTCTGGAC